ATCTGTAATTTGTAATGCAGCAATAAAACTTACTGTGGGAGGAGTAAAGGGTCTCTTAATCTTAATCTGCCAAAGACAAAGATCCATTCCTTTAATAAAAAGTCTGGGTTCAGACTGGGATCCTGATCACCTCCAAAAGTCATTATTTGTTCATGGTATCATTCCTGAGCTTTACTAAAAAATAAGAGAAATCAAACCATAACTTTCACAAACAAACACACACACCCTGGTGATTACATTACCTCTACAAGCGCTTTTCTTGTTTGGAACGTTCCATAGTTCCATAGTCATTAATGTTCATTAATGATCGATATCAGAGACAAGAGAGTGCCTTAGAAATACAATTGTAAAGGGGTTGCATATAGTCATGCATTATGTATTCACTCCACACACAGTGGTCATAAACTACCACTGTAGCCACAGATTCCCTGGGGCAGACTGATGGATGCAAGGCCACCAGTATGTGCCATCGGCCCCTCCCACTAAAAACAATTCACTCACACAGAAAACTTCTACTATGCATTGGGGGTGACGTGTCTTGCCTAAGGACACAATGGCAATTTAGCACTTCATAGTCGCCACACTGTGGCCCCCAATGTTCCCAGAGGTCTCCGTACATTAAGAAACCACTACTAGAATATTTTACACTAATAAAACATATGCCATTAGAGCCAGAGCTCGCCATCAAGGTCACTACATAAAACATACTCAAAATGTACATATATATGCACTGTATATGATTCAAAACTATCTCCTTGGATTCACTTCCGTCTAAAACTAAGGGAAATCTCTCGGTCAGAATGTTTTGGCTTATATTCTCGTGTGTCTTATTCCTTCTCCTCTATCCTGGACTCTCGCCTGATCCCACTTTTAGATTTGACTCTGATAATACATTGACTTAAATATCATGTGATGCTAATGGGAATCAATGCGATGGAGGCAGCAGGAGCCAACTCCAAGCACTTATGCACATACATGATCCAGATTTATCATTGCATGGCTAACACAAGTCCTCCATCAGGTTCTCAGCTGGAAGAAAAATTGCACAGACCCTGCTATTCAACTGGATCGGAATTATAGGGACGGCAAAGGACTTATTATCTGAACAAATCAATCACAGGTATTATAATGATAGGGTGACACGGCAGCCGCAGTACAACGTGCAGAAAATTATGTCTCAAATATGTAGAATATGATAATTTCGTAGGGACCCCTGGTGGTCAGAGCATCAGTCTGCATAAACACAGTCATTAGGAAGTAATCAAAGCCAAGCTGTGACAAAGAGAAGTACAAAATGAGTCAGAGAAATGCAATAATACTTGAGAACACAGTGGGCACAGACATCAGTGGACACATCCCCTCAGATTCAGCACTTGTGATATTTGGCACGGCTGCTGATAGATGTATTTGTTTTGCTGCTGGAAACCTCTTGGCTCCACAATTCATCACTGACATTTTTGTGAATTCCTTAGGGTCTGTATTTAACGCTCAGACCTGACCTGAAGCTCTAACACACAAAAAATACATACTTACGTTATAACCTTAGCTTACATTTGAAACATTACTAGCTTGTTATTCCCAGGAAACCAAATCTACGCATGAGAAGCTGTTACTTTCACACAATACAAGATCATCTGAAGTGGTTGTAAATAATTTTTTCGCACAAATCACCAGCTTTGATACACTTTAGCAAGTAAAACAAAACACTTTCCTCATTTTAAACAGTTATATATGACTTAATTGTGAAGCTAAAGCGGAGGTTCAGGCTGGAAGACTCGACGCCGCATCAGCCATCAGTGAATCACACTCAGCTGGCAGGATTTAGGCACTGGTCCGCATCGTGCAGCAACCCTCCTCCTCCCCATTGAATTGAATTGAGTCTCTCCTGATTCAATTGTCTATAATGTGAATTCATATCTCACACTGAGCTATAGACAAAGGCCTGAACCATAACATCAGTAAGTTGATGTTTTCACTTTTCTCTCATTTACCCAAAACCGCAATAAACACACACTTTCAAATCCAAAGGAATAGGACGTCATGGAGTTCAGAGAAGAACAAAAAAAACATATTTATGAATAAAAATGAGTCGTTTTATTTAACTGTGTTGTGTCTTCCCTGTTCCACACATATATTACCAAGTAGCCCACTTATGTTGTGAATGTATAAAATGAACACAGTCATTATTTATTCATTGCGCACTGTCCCTGTGGCTCCGCTGCATAAACAAGAGCCATTTTGTTTCCGCAAAGTTTTGGGGAAAAGACAAAGCAAATCCCATGATTCAACTTTGGTGGATAGTTGAGTTTGTTTACCACTTTCAGCGTGCGCACTGGGACCTGCCTTTATACCAAGATCACACACACATCCACAAACACACACACACACACATTGATTTCCCTAAAACGAGTCGATATGAGCGGTTGCAGATGTGTGGGAGGTCGCAGTAATAACGCACATGGCCGCGGATTGTATTAAATGTTAATTCCCTTATGTGTCATATTATGTCAGATAAATATTTTAGAAGAAGTGGCTAAAGTACGTGGGAGCCTCTTTTGTTCTTGCGTTTCACTCGAGTCTCTTCATTCCCTCAAGTCCAAGTCACAACTTAGTGCTTGAATTGCAATCTTATTTGACTGTACAGTAGATCGAGGTGTGTGCTACCACTTACGTACTAAATAGAGGGTTCCTGAATCTCAATTTCAAACAAGTGATGGAACTTCAATCAAATCCATAGGTCCTCGCTCTCAAAGCAGTTTGGTTCTATCACCCTTTTTTCCCCCATTCACCTTCTGTAGATTTTGGCTCCTGTCACATCTGTTTCCTCAGAATGAAAAGTGGCAGAGAGACGTCCAGCCTAAATGATCAGATAGTGACTCGTAGGGCTCTGTCTTAAACATGTATATAATACTGTGGTTTCTAACGAGAGGAAGAGGACATATACGGTGGTCTGATTCACAACATGTAACTTCTTCAAGACAGCAAACAGTTGAGACTTCTGACAATCAAATGTTCAAAGCGAAAGGACTGTATCTTATCTCTGTTTAATATGATGTGATTATTTATGTGTGTTTGTGTCTGTTTTGTTCAGCACTTTGAGTACCTCATGTATGAACTGGACTAAAAAACAAAAACAAGTCTTATTCCATTGCTGCAGAACGACGGTAGTAAAGTCAGGCGAGTGCAATCAAGACAAGCATTTGTAAAAATGGATTTCTCATTTGAGAATTGGTCAAAAAAGGTGTCTCACCACACTCTTCAACATGATTTGCCTCAAGCAGTAAATGTGGAAAGATTTGCTCAAGAAAGGGCAAAACTTTATTTGCATGGCGCTACAAACGATCTTTTCACCAAATTAGTTGATAAAGGGACAATTGACTTTCTAAAAGCCCTTCAATTATTATTCTAATGGAATTTATTTGTAGTTGCAAATGTTCAAATCCATTCTAGATTTCGCTGCGTAAAAGTAATGAAAACATATCTTCTCTTACCTTTCCGCCTTCAATGGAGTATTTCCGTGTGTGCTGCGCTGCTCCTGCGCTTTGGTTCATGGTTTCAGCACCTGCTCGTGGACAGCTCTGAGGAAAAAGGGCAAAAAGCCGAGAAGCAGAGAAGATTAGCAATCCACGATGAGCTCAGAGTCTTCTGTGGAGCAGGAGCGAGACTTCAGCCTCGTTCCGCCGTGACACACGCACCTCAGCCAATCGAGACGTGCGCGTAAAAGCCTCTGCGCTGCTGTGCCATCTGTGCAGCGCGCATCTGTCCGCGTGCGTGTGTGTGTGTGTGTGTGTGTGTGTGTGTTCTGTTGAATGAGGGATTGAGCGCATTTGTCCCGCGCGTGTGTGTACATGTGTATGCGTATGTCTGTGTTCGTAAATGAGTGTGTGTGTGTGTGTGTGTGTCTGTGTGTGTGTGCGCGCGTGCGTGTGTGTGTGTCTTGTTGAATGAGTGAGAGGATATGGAGCGCATCTTTCCCTTAAGCGCGTCCGTGTGCGTGCCCAGGGGTGTGCGTGTGTGCAGTGTTTATCAAGGACGTGGAGGGAGCAGGATATTTATTGTTTAAAATTAACACTTCCAGTCAGAGATGTCTGACTGTTCTCGCTGCCCCCCACCCTGCCTGGGACTGTCCTAAGTCCTGCACTGCACTGCACAGTCTCAGTGCTGGGTCTACAGCCTCAGTCCTGGGTCTACAGCCTCAGTTCTGGATCCACGGCTTCAGTCCTGGATCCACAGCCTCAGTCCTGAATCTACAGCCTCAGTCCTGGATCTACAGCCCGTTCATCTGTGGGAGCGGATAAACGGATTTGTGATTTGGCGCTTTGACCCAGGCAGAGCACTGCACCCTGGTGGTGGAGGCTAAACAGAAGGGTTGAAGAGATGGTCTGGCTGAGGAAGCAGTGATGGGGAGGAGGTGGGTTGCTGCACGATGTGAAAGCTCAATAATAATAGTAGGGCAGTGTTTAAATGCATTGTTCTAAAGCATTGTTAGAACATCAGAATGATATTAAAGCAACATGGAAGGTATTAAAACAAGTGATGGGGAAAAAAGAAACCAAAACCATGACACCGAATGACTTCTTGAATGAGGAAAACAAACAAATAGATGTTAAAGGCACACGTAAAAGCTGAACTCATAAGGCCAAATCTATTTGTTTTAAAACAGCAATGGAGCACATTTACACACAAGACAGTAAAATGAGTCCCTCCATTTACCTGGAAGAAGTCATGGCAGCACTGTAGGTTATCTTATCTTAAGGTGGATGACATGTTGGATTAAGAAAGAGTTAAATAAAAAATAGAAAAAATTTAAAGGATGCTCTGGAGATCTAGTTTCTCTAGTACTTTCCCAAGAGAACTGATTTCAAGAAACAAAAATGGCAGAGAACTTATCACAAATTGAGATACATAGTTATTTTTTAATTACATTTTTTAATTGAGTTTTTGTATTTACAAAATCACAAAAACAAACAGCGAGGTCTAGTGCGACGTCCACTGTCCTAATGTGGAGACAGGTGAGTGTATAAACTAATGCATTGTTCCCATGAGGCTTTTGTGGGTAGAATGTCATCTTCCCAGCGTCTTCTCACATTTTCAACAATTATTTCTGTGAGGGTCTTTCCAACAGTTGTGATACATTCTTAAAGGGGGCTCACTCTCCAATAAACCGTACCAATGTATTACATTTGGGTCAATGAGACAAAAATGTCCGCCGCTACTGCCGATTGTTCACAGACTGTTGTTTTGTTCCTTGGCCGTCCAGTGGAGAGCGCACTTCTTAAACACAGATTCCTCCACACCGTACTATTAACAGCTCCAGACGTTTTGGACAAAGTATCTGCAGTTATTGAATCATGTTGTTTTGGATAATGTAAAATCTATAATTAGAGATTAATACTAGTTTTATCCCCAACCATTAACCATCAACCATACTCTCTGTTCTGTTCATTCTTCCATTCACTTGGCCTCCCACACGACACGTCCTAAATGTGTCCGTGTCCCCAAAGTTCCATCTGAGATTATCCTATGTGTATCTATAAACTACATAGTATTAAAGAATTATTAGGGGCTAATATTTTTGCTTCATACATTTTTTTTTTTTTTTGCTGCTTTGAGTGTGATTGAAGCATTGTACAGTTTAGTTTGGAGTGAGCCGTGAATTACAGCTGGATTCACAAAACATTTCAGTTCAATACTGCAGACATTAAGGTGTATTGACATTAACCGTACGTTGACAATTGCAATGGATCAAATTCCCATGATGCTTTGTGGATATAGTGCTGGAAAACATGTGTAAACATATATATATATATCTCCCAGTGGCTTTCTTTGCAGCCAGTCTTTCAGTAACTGCAGCTGTCTTTTTGGTAAATGAGTTTGTTCAAATACAAAGGGGCAGCCGTGAATAACAACAACACCCTGAGGCTAATGCTGAGCAGTTTACATTGGCCTCATGATAGACTGTAATTAAGACCGGTTTTACTTTTAATGATTAACACACGAAAGAGAACACCGTACGCTTTGGCTTCTAAGTGATAATTTATAACATCAGCGGTTTATTATTATATACAAATATTTCTTTCACATTTGAAATGTCACTGTAGAAGAGAGTATGTGTGCGTGTGTATGTGCGTGCGTGTGTGCTGCTAGCTGGCAGGGTGGGTGGGTGTCTGTGTATGTGGTAGGCATGGATCTATTATAATAACTGGATAGGGTATTACTAGCTTGTAGCTGAATAACTCATGTGCTCAGGGGATTCTCGCGGTACTACAGACTGAACCAGACTAAATTCACGTGGGCTACCCAGAAATTTTCCCCATAGAACTCAATGCATATTAAAACAGCTCGACCTCAGCTGACAGAGAACCTACAGCTTTCATAAAGGTCGGATTTTGTGGGGATTTTCGTGTCCCTTGTCATCCTGACCTTTTTTTCTTCTTAAATCCTTCGGTTTTGTTTAAATTTAGTGCCACAAACTCTGCTCGTCTGGCTCTCGCTCTAACTCCCGCTCTGATGAACTGCTCTGATTGGTCAGAGCGCGGCCGAGCCCCTCTGTGCACGTGCGTGAGACCTGGTGTGAGACCCACACACGCGTGTTTGGCTCAACGCATTATGGGAGATCATCCACTGCGCAGAACTGGGAGGACCAGACGATGCCCAAATACAGGCGAGTTTCCCATAGATCTTTGCGAGTTTCAGGCGACTTCCGCTAATCTTTCAGACCCCATGCCGTCACAAAGCGGCAGTGAGCACAACCATTCATTTGAATAGGGCGCCATCTTGGATCGCCGGTGCTTGGTGGTAGGTAACAGCTAGGTGAGTGACAGCTAGGCTAATAACACCTAGGCTAGCTCCTTCAAAACTAGAACTCTCTGGAACTACACGGAAACTGAACAAGGAGAAGATCAGCGATGAGTGGCCCAAATATAGACTCCATAATCCATAATGAGATTATCTGCAAACGTTCTAAATGTTTTATTAATGTTAATGGTTGATTCCGGGTTTACCACAGACGCTTTAAAAGAGTATTTTTGTCATTAAAACGTAAACAGATCATTCTGAAAACCTCAGTGTGTTAAGAATGTGTATAATGTGTTCTCCCATTAACATTTAAATGTGTGGATTGATTGTTATTTGAGTTCATTGAGCAGAAACCTGTTCACTCGTCCTCGTCTCCCTGTTTTTGGGTTTTCCTCTTTGGTCGTAACACTGGAGAACCTCAGTAGTGTAACAGGACTGTTGGAGCCAGTTTCCTATGTTTTCCTTTGCTGCCTCCTGCCACTGTGTCTACCGTGGCGGTGACTCGTTGCCAAAGGGGCGCGGCGAACCGGCGGACTGTCGGCGGGAAGGAGGAAAGGGCAAAAACACCGGAGAGAGCACCGGCGTCCCCCACCACCAGCGCGGGCGAGGGAAGACTCGGCGCGCAAACTGTCCTGCAGCGGAGAGGCCCTGCAGCACTGATCGGACCGCGAAGGGGTGGACCGCGGAGGAGCTTGGCACCGCGTTTGGAGAAGGCTACGCGTGGTGAGCAGTTCTGATTTCTGTGTGCGACATAATGCTGCACAGACTACACTTTTGGGAGCGGTACATGGACTGTGAGGTGGACACTGTAAATAAGAACACTGTAAAAAATGTGCAACAGGGATTTGAACAAAAAACTGACAAAAAAGAGAAGAGAGCTTCAGCTGCTGCAGCTTTGGTTAAAATAAAAGCTAAGCAAGCTGCGCTTCTAGTTAAAATATCATTTTTGGAAGAGAAATATGAAATGGAAGCAAAGCAACTAGCCATTAAGAGACAATTGGAATAGCTGGAATTTGAAACTAAAATGGCTGAAGTGACAGCTAAACTTGCAGTATTGAATGCCTCAAAGAAGCATCGGCATAAAAATAAATCTCTTCCAACAGAGCCTAGGGTGCAAACACAAGTTCCAACCACAACTGTCCCTGCAGTTATAAAAGAAACTAGGACTGATGATGACTGGGATGGATTTAACCACCAGGCCACACCAGGATTTTTCCACTGCCACAGTGGCGTAGTAAAAGCAAGCACAACAATGCTTTTGCAAGAAACACTCATTTTGATTTTGTTGTTCTCGTGATCTGTCTTTGGATTCTGTATGTGCTTTCAGCCAGCAAAATGTTTAAGCTAAAGTTGCGCAAAGCTTTCAAAAGAAAGCGCTGGAAATAGTTTTGAATGATGAAACTTAACAGGATGGATATTAAATGCCAAATGTTTATTCTGTGTATTGAACAATGACTTTGAATATGTGGACATTGAAATTGTGTTTTTTGAAAAATGTGTTCCCAATGTGACAAACTTGCTAAGTTAAAGTATGGCTCCATGTTTATTTTTTGAATTTGTAATTGTTTAGCTCCTGGCTTTCACAATTAAGGGGCCGGTGTGTTGGAGCCAGTTTCCTATGTTTTCCTTTGCTGCCTCCTGCCACCTAGTATGCCCTATATAAGTGGGGCACTAATGACAGACAGGTGTTGTAGTGTGGAGGCAAACATCTTTCGACCGTTGTTTGTTACCACAGCTTTATATTTGTGTACTTGGCAACAATAAAGGATTGTAGAACACAGTATTTTGCTCTATTTGGATGGTGAGAGACTATGGAGGACCAAAAATGACTAAAGGATAAATAAATAAATAATTAAATAAATACAGGAATATATTAATAAATACATTCATTTTGGACAATAAAAACTAAATATTTACATTGATGTGTTAAATATTACTATGAAATCAAATAAATATACTTTTATTTAGGTTATTTATCAATATCTACATTTTTTCCTTTATTTATTTATCCATTTATTGCATATATTTATTTATGTATTTCTACATTTCTTAATTTATTTATTTATGTATTTCTACATTTCTTCATTTATTTATTTATGTATTTCTACATTTCTTCATTTATTTATTTATGTATTTCTGTGTCGCTACATTTCTTCATTTATCTATTTATGTATTTCTACATTTCTTCATTTATTTATTTATGTATTTCTACATTTCTTCATTTATTTATTTATGTATTTCTGCATTTCTTCATTTATTTATTTATGTATTTCTACATTTCTTCATTTATTTATTTATTTATTTATTTTCAATGATTGGTGGGCAGTAGGGCAACCAGACAGAAGCAAAGTTAAGCCTAGCGTACATCGACAGAGAAACTGGAGACAAGTTGCAAGGCGGCTTTTGGCAACTGAGAGGAGATGATGGAGATGATCAGTTGCCAAAATCGGTCGATGTGCGCTCTCTTACAACTGGAGATGAACAGTCGGTCTCCAGTTTCAGTCAGTTGCCCATGTTCTACTTTTCGGCAACTAGTTGACCTCAGTTTCGGAGATATGACCCGATGTCCGACAGCGTGTGTGTATTGCGTGTATTGCGAGCCCGCAACAGTTTATGTCAGAAAACACACTGTAGTTGAGGCCAGTTGCTGTCGATGTACGCGCTGTTATTCCCGAGACTGGTCTGCTACTGGGAGTTGCCCGTTTTCGTCAGATTGTCCATGTGTGCGGGGCAGCAACTCATATGCGACGGATATAATCAGTTGCCAGTCCGATGTACGCTAGGCTTTAGCCTTCTCGGTTTGTGAGAGGATGTGAAGCTGCTGTATAGCTTGTTGAAGAGCGTCCAGCACAGTTGCATCAAAGTCTACCTCTGGGTCAGCACTGTGATGAACTAAAACATCTAATAGTCTTTCCAGCCGAAAGAGTAGATAGTCCTCAGGTGCATTATGCTCAACATCATTAACATCATTTGCTAATGCTCTTAATTGATGAACAATGGCTCCTAAAAAACTTACATTCGAAACTGCCATCATACCACACAAAAGTGCACAGAGGATCTCAAGCTAGCTAACAGAGTACCGTAATGTGAGGCAGTAAATGATCGAGACCAGAGTTCACGCAATCCTAACCAATCCTGTTCTAGATTGAGTTCAGCACCGCCCACCTAATTAGCATACAGGAACACAGAAATACATAAATAAATAAATGAAGAAATGTAGAAATACATAAATAAATAAATGAAGAAATGTAGAAATACATAAATAAATAAATGAAGAAATGTAGAAATACATAAATAAATAAATGAAGAAATGTAGAAATACATAAATAAATAAATGAAGAAATGTAGAAATACATAAATAAATAAATGAAGAAATGTAGCGACACAGAAATACATAAATAAATAAATGAAGAAATGTAGAAATACATAAATAAATAAATGAAGAAATGTAGAAATACATAAATAAATAAATGAAGAAATGTAGAAATACATAAATAAATATATGCAATAAATGGATAAATAAATAAAGGAAAACATTTAGATATTGATAAATAACCTAAATAAAAGTATATTTATTTGATTTCAGAGTAATATTTAGCATATCAATGTAAATATTTAGTTTTTATTGTCCAAAATGAATGTATTTATTAATATATTCCTGTTTTTATTTATTTATTTATTTATTTATACTTTAGTCATTTTTGGTCCTCCATAAGACGCCAACACACTGCATCCAGCGGACCTTGCACAGGGCAAGTTTTGGCTGCTACAAGGACATTGAATCAGATCTCAAACTCTGTCATAACGAAAAGAAAACACCAGACTTACATTTGAGGCCGTTCATTTCAAAAGCATGTCTGTGTTTTGTAATTCTGTGTTTGTGGCGTGAGTAATGCTGTGGTGGAGACTGGAGAGTGTTGCTTTTAGTCAAATGAGACCAATGTACAATAGGACTTACATTAGAGGAAATGGGCCACTTTTCAAAAGAAAGAAAAACATGATTGAATAACTACTCCAACTACTGACAACGGAAAAGCAAGGGGAGTTTATCTGTATTCTTACGCAAGTTCTTAGAAAACAGGAGAAAACAACCATACCACAAATAATCACAGACCATTAAAAAGAGTAAAGATGCGTCAGTGTCTGTTTTCAACCTGATTTTCAACATTGTCAGAGAAGAAGCCTGTCTCATATTTTCAGGAAGACCGTTCAATTTGAAACGCTGCCTCCTCATGTTTAGTCCTGACTCTGGGACCAGCAGGAGACCAGTCCCTGTGCTCCTCAGTGTCCCAGCAGGAGGCCAGTCCCTGTGCTCCTCAGAGTCCCAGCAGGAGGCCAGTCCCTGTGCTCCTCAGAGTCCCAGCAGGAGGCCAGTCCCTGTGTGTTGTTTTCAAGTCTAGAATCACACAGAGCTGGTACTTAAAGTCCATTTGTGAACAGTCTCTAATTTTCTTGTGTAGACACTGCAAAAAAGATGAAATCTGAGGTAATAAAAGCTTTAATCGAGTGGTTTTTATCTGAATCTGACACATTCTGGGCTAAAAACAGATTCTCCAATGGGACAAATACATTCAGTTTTATTTCAAGAACTGTTTCTTTATTTCCTAATTCCAAGGGAGACATTTCTTTTTCTTTTTAAAAGAAGATGATTTTGATTTTTCCCATTGGGGAATCTTGTTTTAAGTCAGATTGTGATCATATTCATTTATATTTTGCCAAATTTGAGATTTTTTTGACTTGTTTGTCATGACTTTCTGCAGGGTGATGTGATGGTGTTGCATGTCCAGCACTTTAATATGTGGTGGATCAAAATTATTAAAGTTAAAAGCATTAGTTGTTTTTGCTCTTGCTCATAAAGCTTTCCCATTCCCACTGAAGTCATTTGTAACAGAATATTTTACAATCTTTGAAGTTGTGTTTTTCAGCTCTGCGGTGCATGACTCTATGGGGAAGAGTAAAATGTATAGGAAAAGCAATTTGTAACAATGAATAAGAATATTTATATCTCTTAAAATGTGTCTTTCTTATTTTTCATTAATATTTCAGTTCCAAATGTTTCCACCTTTTTCTTTACTCCTCTGAAGTGTTCTTTTAAAAAGCTGCTTCTCACACTTTCCATTGATTCCTGCGTTTAGGATTTTATTGATTCCAAACACTGGAAGAAAGAGCTTTGTTGCTTTGTTTCTTCATCTTCTAAACTGTGGTAAAACTGAGCCTTGTTAAACAAAGAAAACAGAAGTATGTTTACAGTTGCTAATTCTCGGATAAAGGTTTTCTATGTTCTCTAGAATTGATGACTTCAGATTTTATGTGAGATAGCAAATCATGCCTTCCCAAAAGAGGAATAAAAAAGAAATGTTTTTATCACCTGAACAATTTCAACAGACCATGCTCGTGTGTTTATTATCAGGAACTCCTCCAACTCTCATAAACATTTATATATAAATATATTTTTAATGGACTTTCAGCAGTATGATCCATCAACTATGCATTGGAACAAAGCAAACAGAGACGGATGTTTGGAGCGGCACATCTCAGAGAAATAACTACAAAGGGATCGATTAAACACTGAAATAATAAAACCCAGACAAACAAACCGGTGTAAAAGTGGTATCATTGTTTTCAGTCGATATCTAAATGTGTCTCTGGGGGCTGCATATTGTAGAGGTCACATCCAATTTCCCGAGTCCCGGTCCCTCATCGCTGGAGAAGACTGCATTCCCGTTG